AAAACCTTTACAAGAGGCCACTCATTTTAAATTATGTAAATTTCCATTGTATTAAATGGGTAAAGAGGGATGAAATTGGGGTAAAGAGCTACCATAGAAAATTAGATCTGATTCAGCTCATCATTTCACATGCAGTAGAATAGAGGTGGGTAGGATTGGGTTAATGCTTTTCCACGCCCACCCCCTGCCTGGTAAGCAACATCCATGGGGCTCATCATGTGGCCCACAGACCTTCTGCTGTAGCTTCAGCTGGGGGATGGTTGGAGACTCCTAATCCCAGGCTCCACTCCAGACCTACTGAATCAAGATTTGCAATTTAACAAGATTTCCAGGTGGCTCATATGCATGTTAAAGTTTGAGAGGCACTGGGCTGTGGTACCTTTTATCAGGATGCTATCTTATTAATTACACTAAAATATCTATGGTAACTTTGGAGGTGAAACCTGCTAGGCGGAAAAGTACTATTCTTGAACCTTGCATTCATGCTTTCATTCAGCAGATGTTTGTTGAGCTAGACTAGATGTTAGGCTATGTTTTGGGGATTAAAGATGTTAAGATGCTGTCTGCTTTCAGTGAACTCATCAAAGCAGGCAAGACCAATACGATAGATGATGGTAGTGCAATGTGATAGGCCCAATAATAGAGATTTGTATAGGATATTTCCAGGCTTCAGAAGGTTACCCAACCGAGCATGGGTGGAGGGGAGAGGAAGAAGAAAGATCAAAGAAAGCTTCTCGAGCTGACTTCTAAAGTATAAATAGGTGTGTATTAGTTTTGTATTGATGCATAACAAATTACTACAAACTTAGAGGTTTCTAACACCCATTTATTATTACCTCACATTTTCTGTAGGTTACACATACAGGCATGGCTTAAATGGATTCTCTGCTTAGAGTCTCAAAGAGTGGAATTAAAGTGTTGGTCTGGCTGAGTTACTTCTGGAGCTCAGTGGTCTCTTCCAAGCTCATGTGGTTGGTGGCGGAATTCTGCTCCTTGTGGTTGTAAAGCTGAGGTTCCTGCTTTCTTGCTGGTTGTAAAGCAGGGGACACTCTTGGCTCCAAGAGGCCCTGTAATTCCTTGTCGTGTGGCCATCTCACAACATGGCAGTCTGATTTTTCAAGGCCAGCAGGAGACTACTGTTCCAGTCAGCTGAGATGCATCATATATTGCACTGATATCAAGAAGTGACCATCCCATCACCTTTTCTATATTCTGTGGTCTAGACGCAAGTGATAGGTTCTACCCCTCCACTCAGGGAAGGAGATCCTATAAGGGCATGGCTCCTTAGGGTCATCTGAGAATCCCTCTTACCCCAAGGAGATTAAACTAGTAAGCTGGGGGTGCAGGTGAAGGAAGCTGCAGAGTGAGTTCAGGGAACTTTGAGCAGGAGATAAAAAGAGGCTTCGAATATAAAATGATGAACTTATTTTGTAATTATTGAGTTTCAGGAGCTGGTAGGGCATCCAGATGAAGCTGTGCAGTGGGACTTTGGAGCTGCACATTTGAATTTTATGGCAGGAGGTATAGATCCACTGGTGGTCATGTTTGTGAGCCTGAGAGTGGACTGGATGGTGTAGAGGGGTGAGTGAAACAGGTGGTGGGCTAGATGGAACCCCAGCGGAGCAGCAGGGATGGTTGTGCTCAGGAAGAGGCACTGGGATAGGGAGACAAAGGCAAGCCCGGAGTAGTGCAGGGAAAACAGGAAGTGCAGTGTTGTCATTTAGGGGCCGAGAATATGATGGGAGGCTGTAAAAACTAAACCAGTGTGGCACTGGTACTGGGATAGACAGATCAACGAAAGAAGCAAAAGAGAGAAGCCGGAAGCAGGAACAAACACACATGGAGTTTAGTGTGTATACACACATCCTAGACTGATGGGGAGGAGGACTATCTAGGAAGTGGTCTTCAGATAGCTGAATGACCACCTGGGCAAAAGTAGTATGGCTTTACCTCACACCATATCCTGGTACAAATCCAGATTTATCAAAGATTTGAATGTAAGAAATAACATGTAAGTATAATAGATATAGACAATAGACATAAACAATAGACATAAACAGTCTGAGAGTGGAGAAGGATTTTCTAACTATTACTCAAATCTGGAAGCCATAAAAGGAAAGTTTTATAGTTTCATTTTATAAATGAAACAACAAAAATCTCTGCATATTAAAAATATCATAAAAAATGAAAAAGAGAAATGACAAACTGGAAAAAATAATGCCTCTCATATTGTAGAGAAAGGACTAATCTTTGTGATTTATTAAGACCAAAAAATGAGTAATCATTCCAACAGAAAACTGGACCAAGAATGTAAAGAGATAATTCCTAGAAAAGGAAATACAGGGCCAGCTGAGCGGCACATTGGTTAGGAGTTGGCTTGGGATGCTGGCTCTGAGCAGCGGAGCCCCGGTTTGGATCCCACATGAGGGCGAGTGGCACTGCGCCCTCTGCAGCTAGGATGGTGGGTGGCAGCTCGCCCTGAGGCCAGGCTGCTGTGAGTTGCTGTGGGTGGCTGGCGGCCCTCCAGGAGCCAGCAAGCAGCTGCCTCCCCAGGGAGGAGCGCAGTGATGGTGCCAATGTGGGCCAGTGGGGCGACGTCCTCCATGGCTGGACGGAGGAGCAGACAGACGGTGGCTTGTCTGTTCCCCTCCCCCAATTCCCCAAGAAAATCTTTAAAAAGAAAAGAAAGAAAGAAAAGTAAATACAGATGGCTTTTAAATATACAGTTATCTTCAACTTCCTCATAATGAAATAAATGCAAATTAAAACTATAGTGAGATATCATTTTTCACTTGTCATCTTAGCAAAAATCCAACAATTTGATAATACACCCTTTTAGCTAAGCAATGGGAAAACAGGCCCTGATCCAAGGTTTGTGGGACTGTTCAGTGGGGCAGCTTGTTGGGCCCTGACTTGATAGTACTTATTGGCAGGAAACATAAATCACTTCTGAGACGTCTTTCCAGAGATATCATTGCACAATGACTTAGGTGCTAGTTTTTCACTGCAGCTTTATATGATTGGAAAAAAGATAGTAAAGAACCTAAACATCCATAAATATGGAGACAGATATATAAATCATGAAATATCAATTCGGTGTAATACTGTGCAGCTATTTAAAAAAAATAAAAAAGAACAAGAATGATCTTTGTAAACCCAAGATCTCCGAGGTATTTTGTTATGTGAAAAGAGAGGTAGAAAACAGTATTATGATGCTATCTTTTGTGTACAAGAGCAAGAAAATAAGAATATATATTCATGTTTCTTTGTATTTTTATAATGAAAATTTTGCAAGGGTATATTAGAGTTTAATAACAGTGATTGCCAAGTGGGGGTATTATGAGCTGGCTAGGGAGGACATGCAGGAAAATTTTCACCGTGTAATTTGTTTTTATATGCATTTTTAACTTGAACCATATGAACTCAAAAACTAAAATCAATTATATGTACAGAAAGATACCAAGCTAAGGCATCTCAAAGAATCCATCATGCTCAGTTATATATAGCTGCAGGGCAAATGGCAGCCTGATACAGTCATCTTCAAACGTGTTGGTTTGCTTAACCTATCAATAAGGAAACTTTAATCATATATCTAGATATATGTGGATTATTTGTTTATTTGAAAATTATATGATTTACTACTATACAAGTTGTATTTTGTACGTGAAAACCATAGACTACAAAGAAACTAAAAATGTATAACATAAAAATGAAATGAATAGTACTTTTTAATAGCTAAAAACGAGTTTGCTTTCACCAAACTATTAATATGCATGATTCTTTTTTGAAAGCTTGATTCAAAGCTTTGTGTTACCATGATCTAAAGTCTATTTTGTAGGTTTGGTTTTAACAGTTGCCCTATCTAGGATCACTGACCTTCCTGGTTTGTCTAGAACTGAGGGCTCCACCCCACCCCAGGTGTGGGACTTAAGTGCTGTGGACAGGTTAATCCTGAGTGAACAGGGATAGTCAGTGACCCCAGTGATAGCTTACAAAGATATGTACCAAAGGTTAGAGGAATAAGCTGAAAAAATGATTGCTGGCCAAACTTAATAAATCATGATACTTATTTTTCAGCATCTCCCATCAATTATGCAAAAGTTTTTGTATATTTCAGCTGCTGAATGTTCACCTTCTGTGATGACAATCAGTTTTGTTTGGGAGTTAGTCAAAAGTATTGCATATTTCTATTTCTAAAAGTGAGTTCAAAGCCAACTAAAACGCTTCATTTGGACACTCTGCTCCCCAACTTTTAAGTGTACAGTTATTGTCAGTTTTTATAAAGGGCACACATTGTATATGGCCACAAAATTATGTAAATAAAACATGTATCTGGATACCCATTAACAAATGCTCTTTGCTACTGTATCTTTCAAAAACGGTGATTCCCTTAGTCTTTGTTAAATGGTCAACTTTCCTTCAAGATTGCCGTGAGAGTGTGCCTGATGAATTCTTTGCTCCATGGAGGGAAGCCATCTTCTTTTTGGTTGCTTGTATTGCCCATCATATTCAGCCTGTGGTTTCTTCCCTACAATCTTTGAAGTCATTTGTCTATTCAATGAAGGTCAGTTTGGCTAAAATTAGATAATGTTATCTAAATTGAGCATTATAAACTATAGTATATCCCAGTAGGCTGAAAGCAAAGGTAGGAAGGAGGGCTTGGCTCTGGTGTGGGATGTGCCTCTCTGTCAGATCCAGGGATCCCATTAGGGAAATGCTCTTGTCAACTTCAGTATGAAGTGGTATTGAACCTCACTTTCTCTCTATGTTAGCCAACAAAGAATGAAAACAGTAATAAAAGATCCCTCCCATGTCTGAATGGATTGTAGTGTGCCCCTCCTGGAGTTTGCATACACACCTGGAGGGCACTGGCTCCTGATGCACTGTGCCCTTCATTAGTGGTTTTAATGGCTTGGTTTCCTGCAAACAGAAAAGTTGGTTTTTGGTGTTTCAAACAGTGACTCAAAAATATGGTCTAAACCACGTTTTTTGTGTTCTAGGAGCAACTGAAGAAGAAAAGAGGCCCAGGGATGGTGCAGCTCCTTTGAGTCACGGTAACTACCACCACCGTTTACAGTTCTAGTTCACAATGAACAACTTTTAAATGAAATTTATTAGATAGCTTTAATTGTTTTAGGTTTATTAATTTAAGTCTATGGTAATAGTATTATTTATCAATAGTGTGTTACATACTCTTCTGTAGACTTTATCACTGTCATCTTAGATTTTCAAATATGTATATACATCAAGGAAAAGTCTGAAGCTTTTATCTCCTTTATTTGCTGTTTTAAAAAGCTTTAAGCAAAACAACTTTTGATTTGTAAAATTTCCCTGTGAACAAGAAAATAAGAGATGCTACTTAGTTTATTTATAATTCTTTGCTTAAGCTTTTCCCAGATTGGCTTGAATTTCTACTGATTGCATTTGTATTCTTCTATTGAAGTCATGTTTTAGAGGAGATTGTACATTTGCTCTAAAATGAGTGTCCCTCATTGTAGTATTAATACATCAATAGATTTTATGTAACAGTTTTTTAATATTCAACTAATTCTCTGATGCTTTAAATTTAAATCAACAAATGCAGATGCTGTTTCCCTGGAATATATATATTCCATATATTTTGTGATTATTGCTATACAAGCAGACAACTGTTATTAAATTTTCTGTGAAATGTAGTTGAATGTCTAACATTTGCACTATTCTCCATGGGAAGGAAGCATATAAATTTGATAATTTTTTCTACAATCTTTTAAATTACCTTAAGTGTTTGTTCAGTAAGTTTTTTTTAATTATTATTATTTAATAATGGAAAAAACTAAAAATACCTTGAAAAAAATGACAAACAAGAATTGAGGTTTTTAAAGACTATTTTATATTGCTTAGTCTTGGGACACAATATTGAAAATTTGTGGTCTTTTACCTAAATTATTTTTAAAATAGAAGTTGTTTTCTATTATAAGAAAAATATGCTGCTTTAAATTTCTTTTTTTCTCTTGCTCTCCCCCTAATCCCATCATGTTCTTTGCTGAAAAAGCAAAGTAGAATGTGGTAATTTGATAATTATGTAACTTGATGTTCAGCTCCGTTGAAATGCACTTCAGTTATGCAATACTGGAATTCCAGAAATAAATTTAGACTGTACCTGGCCCTAATGGCAGGGTTTTTTAAAAAACATTTTTTTTCTTTTGAGAGAGAGGTTGTGATTTAGTATGTTTTTGTTTCTTTCCTGCAGCTATATGCAAATTTTTCTAGATTCTCTTATTCCATGGTTGAAGCATTGATTCTACAAAAAAAAAAAAAGTTAGGTCAACCATTTAAAAATATTCAGTCCTCAAAACTAAGATTGTTTTTAGTTATTTAGTATTTATAATTTTATTACAGCCAAGTATATATTTATTTTAAATAGTTTTTCAGTTTTAATGGAAAGTAACTTTTTGCTGTTGTTCTTCCATTGTCAGATTTGTTTTATACTTAGTGATCCATTCTCAAAACTTTTACCCTGAGGTTTATTCTTCTCCAAATCTGTTATTATTATTGCTCTTTTTCCAGCTGTAGAACAAAGCTCAGTGTTGAGATAAAGGATGAGATTTGGTTTTTGTATACAGATGCTACAAACTGCCAGTTGAAATGAAAATTGAATTATTGGAGGGGCTTTTGAAGTAGTTTATATTTTTACCACTTTTAGTCTCTACCTGCTGACATCTACACTCAGTCATTCCTCTGAAATTATTTATGTGTAGCTCACCAGTGCCTCATTGACAGTCATTAATATTTTGTTGACTGAGTGGAATAAGGGACCTCCCAAACCAATGGAAGCTTTCATGCTCTTATTTTTCTTCCTCTTTAGATTTCACTTAGACATTAAAACTGGGCTTTTTGCTCCCTGTTGCTCAATCTGCTTGTGCTAGTAGTCCCCTCATTCGGCAGCACCATCATCAACTTGTAGTCAGTTAGTCCATCTAGAATCCTAGAGACATCTTGACTCCTCCCTCTCATGTACCCCTGAGCCTCGCCAAACAATTATCAACTGTACCCATCCTTCTTGATATCACTCAAATAGTATCCAACTTAGAGCTGTCCCTGGTCACGTTGTAGTTGTTCAGTCTTTTCATACTTGCTCTTCCCGAACTATTAATAAAATGTATCTGAAATTGTTAGTAGAGTACCTCCTATTCTTTCTTTAGAATATCATTAGAGGCCTGTCACCAACTGGCACTTGCCTGTAACCTGACACCCCATCCTTGTTTTGCTCCAGCCAAATAACGCAGTCTAGAACCTGGCTGTCTGAAGGCTTGTTTCTTGTGCGTGGAGGTTCTTCTGACCTTACCCAAGTAGTTGGCGCCTTCAGAACCTCATCTTTTCTACTTTCTTTATTTTGCAGTATTTTTCTCTTTGTTCCATTTTTGTTCTCAGCATATCATAGGGCATTTGGTATTTAAAAAATCAGTTACATACTATGCTATATCTTCCACTTAAGTTAAGCGTCTTTTAAAAAGGCAAAAAATCAGGTCCAGTCCGGTGGATAGGATCTATTGTTTAGTATACTGGAGTAATAATTTACTAAAGCTCTGAAGTATTAATTAGCTGAATGGCCCAAAGAAGAATTAACACAGCTTTCATAAATGCATAACTTACTTTCAGGGAGTCGTTTCTGTGCTGGGGGATATGGTTCATTAAGTGATTCTAAAAGACTCAAAGAAGGCCCCTTGAGCATTATCCCTCCTGTCTTTTGTTAGAGAAACTAGTTTACTTCCTAGGTGTAATGAGAGAAGTATTTCTTGCAAAATAAGTATATGTTAGTTTGCCTTTTTGAACATTGTGATTTGTTCATTCCCATCAAGGCAATTCCTTACCTAAGAATGGATATCAACATCAGAAAGGGGAAAACCAAATTGATGTACTTTAGTCAGTTCTTCTTATTATAGATGGCATTTACTGTCATTAAATCACAATTAAATATTTAGGCATTTGGATACTTTGAACCTAAAGAATTACATTTTCACTGAACCGTGAAACTGTTGCTGAAGATCAGCAGGGGACTTCTTTCTAAGTAGTGGACATTTGTAGGGGAATTTCAATAATTAAAGCATCCATGTGCACTTTTAACAAAAAGACTATGTAACAAATAGTTTTCAGTATATATTTTCAAATACTTTCTTTGCTCTTGATACTGATTTATAAAGGAGCTAATCTTTGGATTTAATCGATTTAGTTGCCAAACCTCCCCCTGTGGTATTCTGTCTCTTCTGGGTGAATTCGTGGTGGTGTGAATATATACTCTCACAAAGGAAAGGAGCATATTTGTTTTCTTCCTGGAGTCAGTCAGTAGATAGTATCAGTGAATAAAACTGTATAAAGCACAAAGATAGGGCAAGAACCTGTATTCATAAATCCTATTTTATAAAGATCATTTTTGTGGGCCATGTTGAATTCTTTATTATGAAAGCAGACATCATATTAAAATTTCTACTTCATTAAAGAATTTGCTAAGAAGCCCTCGGATTATTTGTGTTTCAAAACAGTCCTACCAAGGAGCCCACCTAAAGCAGCACTAAATCCTACTATGTCTATCGTTAGAGGTCCCTGGTGGATAATAAGAGTATTGAACTCGAAAAGGGGACTGAGTACTCTGATTTTTAGATTGACTTAGCAAAAGAAAATGTCAACGAGCAGCACTTAGTTCCAGTGGAGACCTCTGTGAGGTCTTCATGCAGTGCGGGTCTGGCAGTTTTCTAAGGTCCTGGTTGCCAGTGGCCTCCATGTGCTGCCCCATAAAACACCCATCCCCCTCTCCTGCAGGTCTTCTTCATTCTGTTCCTAAAACCAGAGACTTGTTGCATTTTGAGGTTGAACCAAAGGATCCTTTCCGCTAACATTGTTTGCTCTTTGAAAGCATATTTGATCTTTGTGCATCATAATTACCTTTGCCACTGAGATTAAAGTTGCCATTTAGGGGGCATTTCAGTATTCATTTGAACCTGTACTGTTTCATGTGAAATATTTGGACTATGGGCTAATTCACTGATATGACTATTTTTAATGGCTGCTTCATTTCCCTGTGCTCTCTTAGCACTGTAGAGTGAAAGCATTCTTCTTTTCTAAAATACATTTTTAAAAATTTGAAACTGTATCAAACTTATGGAAAAGTTACAAGTTCAATACATGAAATTTTTTTTTCCTGAATTAGGGAGTAAGTTGCCAAACCCGATACCAGCCTTCCCTGGACTCGTACAGCATGGCCAGTTATTTTGTAAATGTCCCTCATTTTAGGTTTATCTGACATTTCCTCATTATTAGATTCAGGTTATGCATCTTTGGGGGAATATCCCAGAAGTAATGTTTTGTTCTTCTTGTGACATCCAATTGCATGGCACATGATTTTGATTAGTCCCATTTCTTTTTTTTTTTTTCCTTTATTTTATTGTTAGTTTCAGGTGTACAAAACAATGCAATAGTTATCCTTTTCACCCCTCACAAAGTAACAACTCCCCTCCCCCCATCTACTGCCCTCCCACCCCCGATATCATGCTTATCTATTACAATTCCATTGACTCCATTACCACTCTCTACTCCACATCCCGTGACTATATGTATATATAATTACAGTTGACATACATTATTATTCAACATCAGCTTCAGATATACAGTGCAGTGGTCAGGCCTCTACACCAAGTATAAAGTGGTCTCCCTAACAAGACATGAGTCCATCTGGCCCCCTAAAAAATATTTACAACATTATTGATTATATTCCTCAGACTGTCTTTTCTATCCCTGAGGCCATATTGTAGTTACCAATTTGTATTGTCTCATCCCTTCCCCTTCTCCTTCATCCCCACCCCTCCCAACTAGCAACCCTTAGTTTTTCCTCTGTGTCTCTGAGACTATTTCTGTTTACATTCCTCATTTATTCAGTTTTTTAGAATCCACGTATAAGTGAGATCATATGATATTTGTCTTTCTCTGACTTATTTCACTTAGCATAATGTTCTCTAGTTCTATCCATATCGTTGCAAATGGTACTATTTCCTTCTTCTTTATAGCTGAGTAATACTCC